CTCTATCTGTTTATGTATTGTTTGTTGTTTTGTTTATCTGTTTACTAACACAATGGTGTTGTTTTTTTTTGTTTCTTTATAGCTTACATAAGATTTCGTATGTAACAAATAATAATTACAAAAAATACAGTTTTATGGTAGTTTAACTTACTTTTTGATCACAGGGCTATCGATTAGTCCAAACTCTTGAAAATGCTCTTCGAACTCAGTTCTCACTAGCTTTTTGAATAACCGGGGTGAATTGTCTTCGATGAGATGTTTGAGCTTTTTACAGAACATTCCCGGGATCCGATGTCGAATCCCTTCGTTGATTAGGCCATAAAAATTCAAGGTGAGATAAATGATAGATGTGTCATGAAAGAGAAAACTGCTACCTCCAGCGTTTTCACCAGCGGACCCATAGGTCCTTGAGGATTGATGTTGAAATGACTTCTGCTTATTATTGTAGAGCAGTTTGCAACCTACAGTGCAGGTATGTACCGTATTTTTGTACTTTTCTACCGCATTCATTACCTGAACGCTCATCAGTCCCTCATCTGTGCTTGAGAACTCTGTGGTTAGGGCTACAGTCATGCCGATAATGCTGCCATCAACGAATCCTTCGACTTGGAGTGGACCACCATTTCCGTAAAATGCTCCATTTAACCTAAACTCGAACATTTTACTGCATTTTCTGTACCTTTGCATGCGCGCTTAAAATTGAGGTCATTGAATAAATCAGTCAAAATTCGGTTTCCTGGCCTGAGAAAACTTGGAAGTGGAGCACAGAGGACGTTTAGCGATAAGTAATACTTACCAAATGTCCATATTCTCTAGTCCGAGGACCACATAGCGAGGAGGAAGGAAGTTCACCACAGAAACCTACGATAAAAATTTTACTCGCACTTATTCGAACTTTCACTATTTTGAGACAACCATTCTAATTGGAATGGTAGAGTCAAAGGTACATCAAAACAATGAGGAGGAGGATGATATTACCTGAGGAGGGTTGAACTGCAACACTCTAACGTTGTTTAAATTCACAAATCCTTCAATTCCTGGTTGTGAGATAGCAAACTGGGTAGAATAACCAGAAAGCTGGGAGATCTGTTCATTTAGCAGACGAACACCGACGGTCTTCACATGGTTTATACCTTTTTTCGTTAATCGAATTTTTACTCCAGCGTTGCCTAAATGGAAGTAGTCGAAGTACAAATTATGTGAGAGCCAGAATCATTTTTTCAATAGTCGAACTTCTAATTAATGCAGCATCAGAGCCAATATCGCTTTGTACTGACTCAATCAAAATCTGTGAGGTGAAAACCAGGCGAAAGAGAAAGAGTTGGTGAAAATATGAGTTTTTTCTACACTTATCTGTCTGTAAGGACTCAAACATTCCGAGAGATGGATGAATGTTGGGTTAATCACAAACCATAACATCGTTCTACCACATACACTTCAAGCAAGGGTTTTTCATAAAATGTATAACACCTGATGGATTTATATTTGTGGTTTCTTTCTTATTCCTTCACATTTTTTTTCAAACCAAAGGAATGCTTTGAAAACTATGGCAAAATGTTTTATTTAAGAGAGCAGAAGGGGATGATTAATAGAACTGCGCCAATTGTAGCCTCTTTTCATGACTTTTAAAAATAGTACGATGAGTAAGACTTTAGTGTTGTTGACATAGATAATCAGATCTTGGTAACTAGGCGACATTCTTTTGAGTCGTATTTTATAAATCGGAATTGAATACAAAACAAGATAAAATTAATGGAAAATAATAATAAAAACAAAGATTTTATGATATTATGAAACGAGAAATATTCTGAGACAGCAAATAGAGAATACCTTGCAAAGAGTTAATTCTGCATTTCAAAACTAACAACAGAGCATTTATCAAATTCACTAACGACCGAGCGCATTTGGTTTAAACACCTATGTAAATTTGATCCAAGATACCGCGCTGCCTCATACGTTTACTAAATCAGTTGTTTTTTTTTGAACTAATGCAGTTTTTCCGACATGCTTCCATTATCGGATTTCATTTGAAGAACAAGGAAATTAGGCCATGCAAATACGAATGCTATGTAAGAATGTCGTTGTGTTTAACACAAGCAATGCTTCAAAAGGACAATGCTTATTGATTTCTAAAGTCAAAGTTTCCTTTGGAGAAAACCCTCATGATTAGTAAAATTTATGGTTACCGATAAATGAGCACTGCTTTATTTATGCTCTCTTCCTACCTTTGAACGCCTGCACTACTGCACAGTGATTACGTTAGTCTCCTGTTTGACGCTTATGAAGAGAAACTCGTTCTCCCACTTTAGCGGCTTAAGTGATCTTAAAAATTAGTCGTCAAACGCCTTTCTTATGCTGAAAGGATACAAAAGGACCTCCGCTTAGGAGAACAGCTTTTAGCACCAAAGGTTTCGATAAATGAGCGCAAAGTATTTTTTGTCTAACTCAGGGTTAGAGACCCTATACCTATGGAGATTTTGATAAAATAGTGGCGGTATTCCTTAATATAAACTACCGTCATCTCGACGTTGTTCACT